CCACGGCTGGCTGCTATTTCAAATTTCTGAGCTGCCTCACTCAAAAAACAGCCATTTCAAAAGGAAAACCGTTGGATTAAAGTTGAATTTTGAATGTTCAGCTGTGGATAAATATGGTAGCTTTTCACTAAACTAGAAAATTCCATTAGAAATTACAATATGGATTACACAAGAAAATACAACTGGTCCACGTCAAGGTATTCAGTTTAACAAAATTATTACTAATTTAGCATCATTTTCAGCAGTACTGAAGTTAAAATACAGGTATCCGATTCAGTTCAAATTAAAATAGAAATCTACAGAATTATACTTTTTTGTGCGATACCCAGTCATCTCATTTTTCAGTCAGACAGGCTTCTAACACTGAATGACAGCGTTAATGAACCAGCCCTGGATCATAGGCTATTCCTATCATTTAGGTTGAAATTCTTCATATTCCAGTTTAAATAATACAGTAAGCAAATGACTTAAGTAGTGGTCTTGGCTGGACAAAGAACAAAATGCTCATCAACACTGTACCAATGTTGCGTGTGGCTTTAGTTCATAAAGTACTGCTGTGCATAATTGGGGTCTGCCAATTTCGAGCTTTCATACATACTGTTGCCCTCTATATCAGGTAAGCACAGTCATCAACCATGTAGATTTCTATGTAGCTTGGTTTGGAAGCACAAACAGAGCACAGTATTAAGTTTTCTTGGGTGTCAAGACACACAACTGACAAAAGCAGTCTTCAAAACGACAAGTGACACTTGCTCTCAGTTTGCTTCTGTCAATGCATTCTTACCCCACACTGCACAGGATTAATTACTTTTTAAAGCCAGTGCTCATTCACTGCAAAGCTTCGTGACCCTCCCTTTCTATATACCAGCTGGGACACCAACTCCCTGAACCATAATTTTTCGATTTCCAAATGGAATAATTCCAATGCATTCATTCCCCACCCCTTCCTTTCATACAATGTAGTCTCTGGTTCTGAACCAAAGAATCAGAATTGTCTGAAATGCTAACAAGCCCAGATTTATACTTATTTGCCAATTTAAACATCTGTTCTATTAACATTGAATATAGATTCAACAGAGCACAGGTTATTAAAGTAATAATTTTTCCTTTGTCAAATGAGGGCTGATGGCAGAACAGAAACTAAAAGTGGGCAGCATTATAAACATTTGTCTACATCCTAAGAATGTGATAAGCACCATGTAAATGCCAACTTTTCTCTTCACAAGTCATCCCACAAAAATCAGAACGTTTTTCCTAAAATCCATTCAAAAACTCAGTAAAAACGTACATTAGATGGAGATGAAATAAATATATTACAACAAAGCTGAAATACATTCTAAATAGAAAGTGCTCAAGAAGGAATGTTTATAAATGAACACTACCCTTAAGTAGTGCCAGTCAGATTTTACAGACGGACAATCAAAAGATCTAAAGGACTTCTCAAAAGATACTCAGATTTTAATTTCTAAGACTGCTGCTTTGATTTCACTGGGAAACCTGCCATTTTAGCCTTCCACTAACTTTTTCACTTCGACTTCCAACTTCAAAGGAAATTTTCAATATAATGTTCACTTGACGTGGATTCCAATGCCTCATACTTTTTTTAAAAAGTCCATTAATGGAATTAAACAACTCCATTGATACACCGACCATTATCTTCTGCATAATCTTCAAACTAGTTAGCTGGCAGAAAATGAAATGATCAGCATCACAATATTCCCAGTTGACAGTTCTTCATTTGGACTTAGTTTCTCAGTCTGGATGTGTTGACCCAATTTGAGACTGTCTTCTCATTGAAAGCCGCGCACACCTTGGACACGTAGTGGAATTGTCATAATAACAATCTCTGCAAATAAGACAAGAAAAGCATTCTAGTTTACCAATTAAGTTCATTGCAAATCAAACTCAACAGAATGCTTACAGCTAACATAGGGCTTCAGATTTAGGTAAATTTGCTTAGGAACAAAGACTATGCAAATAGAACAGAAAAAGCCAATGTGGTTGTCAGGCTGGCTTCATAGATCAAAATATACCATTTGTTTTTCTCCTTCAATCACAAAGCAGTTTGTTCTACATGAGTCAAGCAGTTGATCCTAAATTAATCTTCTATCACTTCATACAGAATTCTTAAGTGTAGGATTCAAAATTCATGCTTGCATTAAATTATTGTTCAGTTTACTGGTTTCAAAAGATTCATATATATTAGTTTGTTGAAAATCTGTTACGGGCCTTCACCATTGCAGAATAAACATTCTCAATTTCTTTATTCCATTCTCTAAGTTCAGGCCCCCATTCTCTGGCAACAGTTTAGTTATCCTGCTCTACAAAAATCAGAGTGTCACAATAATACAAAATCCAATACAGTGCTTAATTAGTGCTCACCTCAAAAATCACCATTGCATATTGCAGTATGATTCATTCTTCAGACTATATACTCATATGCTCTATTATCACAAACTTACTTTCATTCATGCTTCTGAAGATACTGTAAAATAGTTGCAATTACCATGCACTCCTCTCCCCTTTTTAACATTATCCTACTTTAAAAGCAGTAACAGACTGATTGCTGTAACGGTGTAAATGTAACTGATTGCTGCATTTAGGTTAATTTACTTTGTCGCCCTGTCCCCCACCTGTATAGCATTCTAGAAGTTAGCCTAATAATATGGCATAGATGCAAAGAAAAATAAAAGTGGAGAGAGAAGTGCCATTCAAGGGGCCGGTCAAGGACAGTAGTGGGAAGTTGTGCGTGGAGTCCGAAGAGATAGGAGAGGTGCTAAATGAATATTTTTCGTCAGTATTCACACAGGAAAAAGACAATGTAGTCGAGGAGAATACTGAGATACAGTCTATTAGACTAGACGGGATTGAGGTTCATAAGGAGGAGGTGTTAGCAATTCTGGAAGGTGTGAAAATAGATAAGTCCCCTGGGCCGGATGGGATTTATCCTAGGATTCTCTGGGAAGCTAGAGAGGAGATTGCAGAGCCTTTGGCTTTGATCTTTATGTTGTCATTGTCTTCAGGAATAGTGCCAGAAGACTGGAGACGAGCAAATGTTGTCCCCTTCTTCAAGAAGGGGAGTAGAGACAACCCTGGTAATTATAGACCAATGAGCCTTACTTCGGTTGTGGGTAAAGTGTTGGAAAGGATTATAAGAGATAGGATTTATAACCATCTAGAAAGGAATAATTTGATTAGGGATAGTCAACACGGTTTTGTGAAGGGCAGGTCGTGCCTCACAAACCTTATTGAGTTCTTCGAGAAGGTGACCAAACAGGTGGATGAGGGTAAAGCGGTTGATGTGGTGTTTTTGGATTTCAGTAAAGCGTTTGATAAGGTTCCCCATGGTAGGCTATTGCAGAAAATGCGGAGGCATGGGATTGAGGGTGATTTACCGGTTTGGATCAGAAATTGGCTAGCTGTAAGACGACAGAGGGTGGTGGTTGATGGGAAATGTTCATGCTGGTGTTCAGTTACTCGTGGTGTACCTCAAGGATCTGTTTTGGGGCCACTGCTGTTTGTCATTTTTATAAATGACCTGGATGAGGGCGTAGAAGGATGGGTTAGTAAATTTGCGGATGACACCAAAGTCGGTGGAGTTGTGGATAGTGCGGAAGGATGTTGCAGGTGACAGAGGGACATAGATAAGCTGCAGAGCTAGGTTGAGAGGTGGCAAATGGAGTGTGAGGTGATTCACTTTGGAAGGAGTAACAGGAATACAGAGTACTGGGCTAATGTTAAGATTTTTGGTAGTGTGGATGAGCAGAAAGATCTCGATGTCCATGTGCATAGATCACTGAAGGTTGCCACCCAGGTTGATAGCGTTGTTAAGAAGGTGTACAGCATGTTAGGTTTTATGGTAGAGGGATTGAGTTTCGGAGCCATGAGGTCATGTTGCAGCTGTACAAAACTCTGGTGCGGCCGCACTTGGAGTATTGCGTACAGTTCTGGTCACCGCATTATAGGAAGGATGTGGAAGCATTGGAAAGGGTGCAGAGGAGATTTACCAGGATGTTGCCTGCTATGGAGGGAAGGTCTTATGAGGAAAGGCTGAGGGTCTTGAGGCTGTTTTCGTTAGAGAGAAGGTGGTTAAGAGGTGACTTGATAGAGACATACAAGATGATCAGAGGATTAGATAGGGTGGACAGTGGGAGCCTTTTTCTTCGGATGGTGATGGCTAGCACGAGGGGACATAGCTTTAAATTGAGGGGTGATAGATATAGGACAGATGTCAGAGGTAGGTTCTTTACTCAGAGAGTAGTAAGGGCGTGGAATGCCCTGCCTGCAAAAATAGTAGACTCGCCCACTTTAAGGGCATTTAAATGGTCATTGGATAAACATATGGATGATAATGGAATAGTTTAGGTTAGATGGGCTTCAGATTGGTTTCACAGGTCGGCGCAACATCGAGGGCCGAAGGGCCTGTACTGCGCTGTAATGTTCTATGTTCTATGTTCTATTCTTTTGAAAAAAATATTTGCACCCTCCTCAAGTTTTAAAAATATTGGAACCATGACATACACTGGTGTGCAGATATGCATCTGACTCTCTGCCTTCTGGAATGAGGTCAAATACAGACAGGGATTGAATAATTTTCATAAAATGAAAAGAAACATATCTGAATAACTGAATGCTTATGGTTGAAAATAACAAGATTAGTTAGATTAGAAAGTTACAATAACAGCAAAACACACCCCTAAGGTAGTTACAAATTCAGAACCTTAATTCATCCATCCATCTTAAAAAGATAAAGTTCCCTGTACTTCTTCAAGCAAGTCAGTATTTTTCCCTCCACTAGTCTTCTTGGGACTGAATTTTGCAGCTTGATTACTCAGAATAAAGAAGAAGTTTCTGACACGTGCTGAGTTTCCTTTTTACTAGTTTAGTCTGACCTACTGACTTAGTCAATAGATGTGGACTGTTAATGTATCATTCTTGTATATCTTTACACATCACCAATCCAACACTTACTTTTCCAGCTGAAACACTCAAGTTACTTCAGTTCTTTAGTCTTAACTCAGACCTCTGACTAAGGATAAGCTTTTTGGCAATTTTTTTTAATATCATTTTTCAGTGCTTGAAAATCTCACTTGTCTCAGCAACCAGAACTAAACATTGTACTGAAGGTACAGTCCGATCAGAATGGTATACACTTCAGCCACAACTTTCTGCATTCTACTGAAGACTAGCTTAAACATTCAATTGACTTTGACCATCACTGCTCTGCCGTATTGGACCTGCTTATCATTGACCATACCAAAGACGGACAGGACTCTTTGGCTTCATACTTAGCTACTTTACCACTATTCAAGAAGAATATGTGTTTAATCAAAAATTATATCTGCATGAAACATCTTTCTTCTCCAAAGCAAAATTCTGACATTGGAAATCAGAATAAAAACAAAATTGCAAGAAATACTCAGCACGACTATGGAGAGGAGAGCTGATGTTTTAGGTTGATAATCATTCATGACAAGTTCTGATGAAGAGCCATCAACCTAAGAATTCCTCTCCATTACCAAGTTACATTTTGTTTTAGAATCCAAATATTTTTACAAATGATACAGCAATGTGCTTTTGGCTCATTTAGACTTTATTTGTTTAGCTTGAACTTAATGTTTTTGACATAAATTACAAGCTCAGCATTAAATTTTCAAAATGTTTCATATCCTTTACGTAGGTTTTGTTTCACAACCAATGTATTTGTTTTAGTCATTTCCCCTTTTTTCCTTGGCAAGGGTAGCAGCCTTTAATTGATTCATGGGTTGGAAATGTTAGCAGACAGTTGAAATACACTTCTCTCATTTGAGAGTGAAATGAATAACTTGTCCTTTGTATCTATATCCTAATCTGCATTTCTTAATGCCTAAATTGATATTTACTCGTTTCTCATAGCTCAAGCTTCAAGTTTAAAAGTCTGGAATTGACACCAACTGTGTAATTGGGCCCAAATATTTACACAAAGCAAACGTTAGAGTTTTGTACTAACCTGTGAAATACAGCAGAACAATCCTGGCACACTGATGTGTGGCTGTCGAATGGAAAGAGCACATCTCCCTCTTTGCATAACTCACAGACAAAACCTTTAGCCTGACAGCGCTATAAGACAAGCCACAGAATTAAAGATTGACTTATAACAGATATTTACAATCCCTTTATTTCCATACTTTGTTCCAATTCATAACTTAAAAATGCAGCTAATCATTGGGATAAAAGATTTTGCAGTGTTATTGCAACTTTTTTTTTTATTTTATTTGTTTGATGCCCTTTGATAACAGATTGAAAAGCATTCATCTACAGATACAATAAGGAATACTATAGTAAAACATGCTAAACAGTTATTGACAATGACAACAATTTAATTTATTAGAAAATTATGTCAATAACTAGAAAGGGGAAATTAAGAATTCTAGTTGTGAACTCACAATATTAGTGTTTTGATGCAGAAAACATTAGAAATTACTACTACATAACAATTGGTCTAACTAATAAATCAGTCAGTATTAAATATGCTGATTGTTTTCTGATTAGTCAAACATTTTGGAGCAAGGACATCAGTACTGAGTCTGATCCTGTACCACTGCCAATGTTTACAGGCACATGTCTTGAACAAGGCCAACTTGTTGGTAATCAAGAATGGGATTCACACCATTGCAGTGCAATTAGAACTACCCTAGTTTAAACATCAATTAACCTAGTCCTAGCCACACATCAACCTGGGACATATGTGGTTCACATGACTCCAGCTGTGACTGAGCCTATCCCAATGATTTTTGTTTGGTATTTGTTCCCAAGTTATGACCAGAGCTGGCATGGCCAGCATTTGTTACCCATCTTTTATATAACCAAGTGGATTCCTGAGAATCACGCACATTTCTGTGTGTTTGAAATCACATATAGGCCGGTCCAGATGAGGTGGACAGGTTTTTACATTATTGCATTGTTTTATCTTTGATTTCTGCCTGCAGAAACTGCAACAAGACATCCTGCTAATGAAACTCTACTTCATCACATGAAAGGAGGTAATGGAGGCAAGGCTGCTATTACAGGAAATCCGATAGTTTCATGATTACCATTACTGAGACTGATATTTTATTCCACATTTTTAATAGTTCGAATTAAAATTTCGTCAGTTCCTGTGGTGGGGTCAATACGGCATTCATTCAGTCCTCGAGGTAAAGCACAGTAACATAACCACCATGGTATCACTCCCATAGAGTCACAAAGTCACACAGCATGAAAACAGACCCTTCGGCCCAACTTGTCTGCGCTGACCAGACATCCCAATCTGACCTAGTCCCATTTACCAGCATTTGATCTCGTATCCCTGGAAACTGTTCCTATTTATATAGCCACCCAGATGCTTCTTAAATGTTGTAATCATACCAGCCTCCAACACTTCATTCCAAACATGCACCACCCTCTGCGTGAAAAAGTTACCCCTTAGATCCTTTTCAAATCTTTCCCCTCTCAACTTAAACCAATTCTCTCTAAATTTGGACTTTCCCCGCAACCCCTCACCCCCCCACCTTAGGAAAAAGACCTCGGTTATTCACCCTATCCATAGGGAGCAAACTAACTTCATTGATTAAAAATTAAGCCCAGACTGCAATCTAGAAGGGCAACTTATAATTGGTACAGCTGGCACTGCAAGGCTCTCTCCAGAGATGCTGCAACGGCAGCAAGTGTGGACCTAGCGGCAAGAGATGACGCCAGAACGTGGTGACTTTGATGTTGGTGGGCCCAGCGCAGGACTGGAAGTGGAGAAGTCGACATCAGTGGCGGTTCTGATGTCAGCACTCATTCAAAAGGTTACACTCTTGCATTTTTTTTCCAGGAAGGCTGTGTATTCTGATACTTCAACTGATTCCAAAATGGCAGCAGCATCAACAAGGTGGGCCCAGTGGTGAGAGACTGCATGGAACATGGCGACATCGAATGGAGCTCAGTAGGTCCAGTGCAGGTGGCAGCAAGGCGCAGGACTCATGGCGGCAAAGTGGCAGTCGCATCACCACGCCATTGGTGAACTCGGCTCAAGACTCATGGCTGTGGTGGCAAGGGTGATCTGGGCATTTTCCTTTTCCTTGATTTCAGCTCTTGTTTTTAGTTCTGACTATTCTAAGATGGCACCAGAGAGTGGAGACTCTGTACACTTCACCGTATCCCTGTACTCAGGTACCTGTGACAATGAAACCTAATCTAAAATCTAATCTGAATATTTCTAACACTTCCTATGTATGTGCGTAATTGGTAAAACATTACTATTTCACTGTTCATTAAAAAATTGAAGAATGACACACAAGGTCTAAGATTTCAGTCGCATGTCCTTATTACTGTTCAGCAACATGATTCATACGAGGAATAGTTGGCAGAAAGCTAAAGACAGCAACGCCTTGTTTGGATTTAGCAATTTCTCTTTCTGAAAAAAAAAGAAGAATGATACAAAAATGGCATCACACTAAAAGCCAAAGCCAATATTATAATTCTCTTTAAAGATGCACAACAAAATTCTTTAATGTTACATCCATGTTCAAAAAGTGGAAGGTTTTTAGTTGCAGGAAGGGGAAAAGGATTGAGGACTGCGTTTTGTGGGACTCAAAACCTCCCTCTTTCTGAAGGCTGATGTAACCACGCAGAGTTCAATCGTGAAAGTCTGACTATACCTCACAGTCCAGTTTAATATGTTTTGCAAAGATGGTGTGGATTTCGGTTAAAGTGCGGCTCAGATGCCCAGTGGCAATGTCAATTAAATCCTGTAAAGAATACATTTCATCGTTTTCCACAAAATGCTGTCGATCCTGCAACTGCAAATGGAAATATTTAGACATACATTGAAAAATTATTCCCAAGGTCGATATCATGAATTTTTGCCTACAAGTTCAATTTTAGAATATTAATTTGGACCAAAATCCTGATTTAGCTTTGCTATTTGAATCAATATTATAGCGTTTAATATCAATTGCAGGCATTGCTCTAAATGACACAATAATCTAACCTGTAACAGCAACCTTGCCTCCATTGCTTCCTTACATGTTATGAAATAGGGTTTCATTAGCAGGATGTCTTGTCGGAGCTTCTGCAGGCAGAAATCAAAAGAGATAAAACAATACAGAATAATTAAACGAATTTTTTAAAAAACGCAATACACTTCTTCAGGATCAGGACACAGATATTTCGATCGAGATTCAATAATAATTGAATGATAGAAGCAGAGGATCTGACCTAGGTGAGAAGAGGAACCTTTCGTCAAGAAAAACCTCTACTCAGTTTAATATTTTAGCGTTGCTCCCAAAATAACCTGCCAAATGTCCAGGCAGACCATGCAAATAGGTAAATTCTTGATCTTTCCAACCCAAGGGAAGAAGAGAGCAGTGCTGCTTTATGTTTTGATTGGTCATGTATTCTGGATTACGAGAAAATCTCACCAGGACAGATTCTGCAGTTACTCTAAGTTCTAAGAAGGCACAATTAATCTTTAAAGTTTGTGATAAGTCTTTAAAGACAGCATTGAAACACAAGGGGCAAACATTCAATTATCAATAATTATTCATCATTCTGTTTAATAACTAATTTCATGTGGCTTTGGCCAAAATAACAGAATTATCTGAATGTTGATGGAGGACAATTCAGTCCCAGCTACTTGTGTCAACTCTGTGGAAAAGCTATCCAATTAATCCCACCTTTCTGCTCATTTCCATGGCCTTATGAACTTTTCCATTCCAGTATTTGTCCAATTGTCTTTTGATTATTTTTTTTTAAAACTACTTCCACCACCCTTTCAGTCATTCAAGATCATAACGCACTATGTTTCAAAGAACAAAAAGAAAAAGATTCCTCACGTTGCCTCTGGTTCTTTTGCCAAAAATCCCAAAGCTAACAGACACTTATGCCACCGGAAACCATTTCTGCTATCTTGCTGCAAAGCCTTTCAAGTTTTAAGCATGTTTTAAAACTCCTCCTAATGTCTCGCTTTTCAGAGCGGAAAAGGTTAGTTGGCAAACAGACTGTCAACTAATCAGCAACCCGTTTCTCATTCAGGATAAATTGTTGTCATCTTTGAGATTTGAAATTCTTGCAACTGTTCTGATAAGTGCAGGACAAACTGCTTCGACTGCATATATTTTTGAAAAAACAAACATACTACCTTCATCAACCATTTGTTACTTCCCAAAGAAAAGTCAATCCAGTTTACGTTGCTGCAGAGATTTACATAGAATTTGGACAGAGAAACAGGGCATTTGGCCCAAAAGGCCTCACTATCAATGTTTTCAGCTATTCCCTTCTCCCATAAATTTACCTAGTTTAGCCATCTATTACTCACCTCCATTACTCCATGTGATGGTAAATTAGTCAAACTCAATTTGCCTTCAAATCAGTCTGTGCTGACTCTCATTTATCTTATACCTGGCAAAACTGCTATTTTGGAAAGTTGTCCCAATTACTGTTTCTAAAGGTTCCCAAGTTTATCCCTCTTCAAAAAAAAAAAAAAAAAAACTTTTTGCCACATTCATGTTTCTATAATCTACATGGAGTCTAGTTGACCTATTTTTCTAATCAACCCATTCAGAGATGTTATTACACACCTCTGGAGCAGGTGGGACTTGAACCTAGACCTCTCAGCCTTGGAGTAGGGACACTACCACTGAGCAACAAGAGGGCCCCCTGAAAACATTTGACCTATTTTTATAATCAACCCATTCTGAGGTGTTATTACACAAGCCCGGAGTAGGTGGGAGTTGAACCTGGATCTCCTGGCTCAGAACTAGGGACACTACCACTGCACCACAAAAGCCCCTTGAAAACATTCAATTCCAGACAAGCTTATTTGTTGCATCTGATCTGGTGAAAATTATGCAGTAAATCTAAGCATACCCGAATTTCCACCAGTTCCTCCACATAATTGAAAAGAAGTGGATTAATAACTCTAAGTTTCAGTACTGGCCGGGAGTTCATCAGCGTGAGGTACCTCATACTATAACGGCACACCTAATGACAAAACATAAAAGGAAAGAAAAAAAAATCACAATTAGGCAAAACTTCAAGCAGCACTACTCCAGGTAGCTTCTTCAGGTATTAGGTTGCTACAGCAGAATAAAGGTTATATCTATCCACATTCACACCTGATAACGCAACAAAACATTCCACTCTGGTACAATTTTCATGGTTTACAAAATGTAGCCCGAGATATGCTTTGATCTCAACATTGCTACGAACATTTTAACACCTTTCACCTCAAAAATCAAAAGACTATGAGCTGAATTTTTATAGCACCATCATGTTGAACACGGAAGGGCTTGGCAAATGAAATGGTTGGATGGGATTTCCTTCACTGGCAATTTTTAGTAGTGCAATTTAATTATGTGGGATGAGACTGTGGCAGCACTTCTGACCTCATCAAGTGTGTTGTGGGCTGGGCAAGACAGATCATTGTAATTTTGATGAGTTGGACCAGCTTCTGCAAGTATCCCGGTTAACATTGGTTCAGAGTAGCGTGACCCATGAGGGAGCCCTACTTTGGATTCAAGAATCTTTTTCAAATTTGTTGCCAACTTCACATCATAATGCAATACTGATTAAGTTAAATATGTTCCTTTTAATGCATTGAAGTGACTACCAAATTGACTTGCATCGTGAAAGTGGAAAAATCATTAGTAAAAACCGAAAGAACTGCGGATGCTGTAAATCAGGAACAAAAACAGAAGAAGTTGCTGGAAAAGCTCAGCAGGTCTGGCAACAGAGATAACAAGGGGTAGAGCTGGATGAACACAGCAGGCCAAGCAGCATCAGAGGAGCAGGAAGGCTGACGTTTCAGGCCTAGACCCTTCTTCAGAAACATCTGTGAAGGAAAAAACAGAATTAACATTTCGAGTCTGGTGACCCTTCCTCAGAACTGGTGGTGGCTGGGAAAATGACAGTTTATATGCAGAAAATTGGGAGGTGGGTGGGGTAGGGAGTAAACGATAGGATAGAGCCCAAAGAGAGAGAAAGACAGTTGGACAGACAAAGGAGTTGCTAACGATCAGGCTGGGAGGGTGAATAGTTATTAATGGGGACTGTTAGCGATTAACAACAGGTGGTGTGTAATGGCAGGCTATGTGGTAACAAGGTCTGGTGTGTGGGGTGGGGGTCTGGGACATGGGAGAGTTTAGGCCCTAAAATTATTGAACTCAATATTGAGTCCGGAGGGCTGTAGGGTCCCCAAGCGGAAACTGAGGTGTTGTTCCTTCAGCTTGCGTTGGGCTTCGCTAGAACACTGCAGCAAGCCAGAGACAGATGTTGGCCAGGGAGTACGGTGGTGTGTCAAAGTGGCAGGCAACAGGTAGTTCAGGGTCTTTTTTGCGAGCAGAACGTAGATGTCCTGCGAAATGATCGCCAGGTCTACACTTCGTTTCCCTAAAGTAGAGGAAACCACATTCTGAGCAGCAAATGCAGTCAACTAGATTCTGGGAAGTGCAGGTGAAGTGTTGCTTCACCTGGAAGGTATGTTTGGACCCTTGGATACTGGGGAGGGAGGAGGTAAATGGACAAGTGTTGCACCTTTGCTGGTTACAGGGGAAGGTGCCGTAGGGCTGTAGGGAGGTGTTGGGGGTGAAGGAAGTGTGGACCAAGGGTGTCCCGCAGGGACCGTTCCCTCCGGGACATCATTGGATGTTTAAAATACATTATCCACTGGATAAAGTGCTAATCTGCATTCATATTTATGTCAAACTATGTCAATTGTACCCTTATTCAATATTTTCATTTAACAGCTATTCAGAAGTCAGTAATCTTTCTTGCATACATGGCTGGGCTCTTTCAATTAAACCTTGGGGAGTTTTCTTCAATGTAGTTGTCCAATGGAATTGCATTATGAATGCTTGATTCAGTTCCACATCCTACTTATATATTTTATTCAGCAAGGGTGGTTTATACAGTGGTTGACCAGGGGATTACATTTGTCTAACTTAACAGTTTTATGACCACTCAAGAGGATGACATTTTGTATGTATTTCTTCTGTTTTAAACTTCCCAATGTTATTACAAGGCTCAAGAGTTCTGCGCATAGTGAATACTGGATGAGAAGGCTTGGGATTAAGGAAGAATATAGGGTTTAAGGCAGTATGGCATCAGGGTTAAAGAGCCTCATATCTAAAGAATTGGGCTGATGTCCAAGGAAACCAAGAATAATCTTTTAACCCGTCTCCATTTATACCTCAGGTCTGCTTACAGGGGCAGGAAAACCATTTCTAGGCCACGCATTAAACAAAATGGTGATGTTGGAAATTAAAGGGAAGACCTTCTAGATCAGAGAGAAGGAAAACCTTCTTCAACCAGAGAGTGGTGAATCTATGGAATTCACTGCCACAGAAGGTTGTGGAAGCCAGGACATTGAGTATATTTAAGACAGAGATAGATAGTTTAATCATGCAAAATTTCCATGAAACAGTTAAGCTCTGCATATAAATTCATCATGTTAGTTATTTTAATAATGTCACTGTTTAGCCTTCATAATGGGATATCATGCACTTCTTTCATAAAGAGGATAGGAATTAATAAACGGTGCACAAAACATAACTTGTTTATGAAATATTCATTGATAAACTTTATATTTTTCCCTCAATTTCAAGAAATATGGCCTCTTGCTGTCCTGTAATGACACTGTAACCATGTCACAATGACAAAATGACGCATCAGGATAGAAGGAGAAAACTTAAAAACCATGCAGATGGTTTCTACAATGAAAGATTGTAAATGTTACAATAGACAAATTAAGACTTTTTTTGGACTGGAATAGCAACTCAGTTTATGATCAATATAGTTTTCTGATATTTTACTATTCTCCAGTTTCTATCTCCCTTGCTGTTCCCATATTGTTTTCCCTCTCTCATTCACATCTATAAACACTCACTTTATAGGTTTCAAAGTCCCAGTTATGTATGACACGAGCAGGGATGACTGCTGCATCATTCCAGTGGCAGCTGCTGCAGTAATATCGTCCAGTGTAGTCACACATGCGTGCTTCACTAGGCACACCACCTAAAGCGTAAAATCAAAAGTATGATGAGTGACTCGGTGAAGATTTAAAACAAAACACTTGATGTTATAATAATGAAACTGGTCATGGAGATCCCATCATCTCACTTTCCTAATTGGAGAGTCCATGCATCTCTGGTTGGTTACACAACAGGACACAACATTGCTGGACTATATGAACACATTTATGTTTCAGATTTTTACATACTGGTTCTGCAGTATATTTTGTGTTTGAGTCATTGCTTTTGTAAGTGCCACAATGAGTATGTTTGATATTACTGCAACTATTAGTATAATACTCTATGATGCAGGATCAGGGAAGAATGAGAAGGGAAGAGTGTCACAACACCTCAGCCACTTATAAGCACTGAATTTTCAGTTTCTGGAACAACTAGTGATATGTTCCCATCTTCCTGCTTGTTCTACTAAAGGGCAGTATGGACTATGGCAATAGAATGTGTAGGATATCATTTGAGCAAAAGATTGTAACCAGAATAATGGGACTCAGGAGAAAACACTTCAGTGGAATTAATGTCATTTTAGGATGCCGAGCATGTTTTGCCAGTATGTCTGGATCAATGGACACAATGAGAAAACATGGCCATTCCAACAGAATCTCTCAAAAGAATCTCATTGCCATCACCAACTCAATATGCGCATGAGATCAGCACGAGATTTCAGTCTCATGATATATTGATTGGTAAGAGAAATACTTTCCAGAAGAGGATATTTTGACCTCCTATGAATGGATTTTATCTTCATTGTTTCTAACAGTTCTATTGAAGGGTCACTAGATTCAAAATTTAAACTCAGTTTCTCTCTCCACAGGTGCTCCCAGACCTGCTGAATTTCTACAGACTTTGTTTTAGATCCACAATTCTTTGTTTTAATTACCATAATTACGCTACTTTGATTAAAAAAAAACTATTCCAATCTGATGATTAGCTTCATTCTTAGTTTCACTGTGGTATTAATCTCTTTTACAACTGACAGAAAATTGTGGATTTTCATTAATTGCCAATGCAATGTAATATAATTAACTAGTAACCGCATGGGTACATATTTCAGCTCGAAGTGTTTTAAAAGTCAGTTTCCATAGATGGAAGAAGTTAAGTCAACATTGTTAGTCCTTGTAGTCATTGTGCAATGAAAACATGTTCTGAAGTCCCATATTTCTAGTGAGGTGATGACATAGATCAAAGACATACCACAGCAAAATAAAAATCAATTGACAATATAACATTTTCTTTGACAAGTCATAATTGATGTAAATTTAGCAACAAAGTGAAAGAATTGAAACTATGGTGCTATAGGGAATGGGAAAGAAGAATTAACTCCTTTTTGGCATTAGATTTCATGAGATTTTCACATATTTCCCAGATTTTGTTAACTTGTGGTAAGTCTGGAGCACTAGTTCCCTTCCACCAACTAACAATGCTCACTTGCAAATATCGCCAACCCATAACATAGACCAAGCAGGTCAACATTAGGGAAACGGGATTTAGTCTGCCCAAAATTATGAACGCAGAATCAAAAAACAAGACAAGTTGAGACACTCAAAAACCTTCAAAGAAATGGATAGTTTAAAAAAATTGTGCCAAACCTAATTTGATATTATAGTCTATTGAACTTTGAGCTTCCTTAAAAGCACTTGCCTCTATTAATTATCTAACAACAGCATCAACATTATATCTGAACCCATAAGAAAATGAAAAGGAAACCACAAACATATAGGACCTCTAATTTTCCCAACAACTCCACAGCAAAGTACATTCACCAGAAGTAATTCAAAGAAATTTAAACAAAAATGTACATAACGCTCTGTCAGAGATGCCTCTTTGGCTCATTCTGTGCTCCATAAGCCAAACCAATGAATGTGAAGTTTTCTACCTGGTGCAGATTTCCCAGCGTGGGGCTAGTTTTATCCCAAGGGCTCTGAGCTGCCAAGATGGGACGGTTTTCTAAATTTCCTTTGAAAACAGTCAGGAAAAGAAGTCCCTAGAATCCAGTCGTAACACCCCAATATTTATATATAAAACTCCAGTGAAACTCTAATCATTCAATTTTGCACAAACATGTAATGGAAAGCATAAAGTTCAAAACATTAAGATTCAAATACAGATCAAATGGTTAACTTTCTATGCATACGATAGTTCTGAATGATCTTAAGTTACTGAGAAACAAAATAACAGCTTTGTTCAACTCTGTTACTTGGATGAGATTTTGATGTAAATCTTCCCTTCCATTGCTTTTAATCAGGAAAGATACCCTGCCAATTTGAAATCTAAAATCACATGACAATCGTTTAATATTTCAAATATTACAATATTTCACTCACGTAAAGAAATTGGTTGACGACACTCTCCGCATCGGTAATCCTGCCGGTCCAGACCAACCTCAGGACAGATATTGAGCTCAAATTCAGATTGGTGGCTAACCTTTGACCTTACACAGGATTTGGTGATTTGGTTTAAGCATTTACTGTGACATCTGTAATAACAACCTGTGAACAAGGAGACCAAACAATTAAAAATGGTGACATGCAGCATTAGAGGGTTAAATCAATCACAGGTTTTCACAGAGTTAGTCAGTTTACCTGCCTAATAACACATTCCTTTCTGGCCACAAATGCTCTTCATCAGCTCAAATACTTTACACTAGACTGCATATATCCATTATGTTGAGTTGTTGTCACAGAATGTTTATTTAAAAAAAGGATTGAAACAACAATTTTTTCCTTCTCATGTTGAATTATCAAATTACATCATTTACTAAAGCATCATCTCCTGAGAATGCCTTGCAACCCAATCAGTTTACCTTGTACCTTTATTAATCATCTTCAGTTCATAAACAAAAGTAGGATATTATTCAGAGATAGCAGGAACTGCAGATGCTGGAGAATCTGAGATAACAAGGTGTAGAGCTGGATGAACACAGCAGGTCAAGCAGCATCAGAGGAGCAGGAAGACTGACGTTTCAGGCCAGCCTTCCTGCTCCTCTGATGCTGCTTGGCCTGCTGTGTTAATCCAGCTCTACATCTTGTTATCTAGGATATTATTCAGTTTGTAAGCGTGCCTACTTTCCCACAAGTCTTCAAACAAGTTTGAAAGCACAAACAGAACAATTTTGCTCTTTTTCCTAAGAACATTCCTTTACACTTTCTGATTAGGTACTTAACCAATTAAAACACTTTCATCCAATAAATTTCTACTGTGTCACATTTCAAAGTGTAGCATGTTAGTTTTGCCCCACAAACTCAAGTCCAAATTTCAACCAGTGATATATTCAATGAAAGAGGAACTAATTAAAATTTGATTGGTAAAGAAAATTAGTATTTGGAGGAAAAAAGCATAATCAAATCAGTCAACTGTTTCACTCATTGAAATGGAGAGGAAAAAAGAACAATGGACTGAATAATGTTTTTCCCCTGTTTATCTTCATAAAACACAGGAGGATATTAGATGCAACATAATGTAACTGTTTTTGGAAATAAATGTCACTAATCTCCTGTATAAAAATATTTAAAGATAAAGCATTCTGCATGAGTTTGTCACAAGTAGTCTTAATTTTCTGAAGCCTGGGAACTCAGTTACTGGGAAAAAAAGGTCAGTAGTTCCTAGATACAAATTCAATTTCCTGTGGAGAAGTTATGATGTGGGATGCATCAGCAAACTTGTTTCTTCATTCCCCTCCAGGAAACTGCAGTAATTAACATATTTTCAATATGGATTATAAAATGGTCTAACAGTAAAGGCTGGAGGCATGCAAAAAATGTGAATTTAATTTTTGTTTCTACAATTTTTGAAATAGTTACAGAATGTTGAAAGACAATTCCAAATTAATGGAAGTTTTGGGCATATAGTTCTATTTAAGTTGCTAAAGAGGCCTGATGTATATATAAGTACAAATAGGTTATGTCAATGAATGAGTGTTTAATAACTTAGGCAGTGTGACTGGAGTCATGGAAATGTCAGGAAAAATTCTCTTGGCTGTGGCTACATAGTGAAGAGAAAAACACAAGTAAAAGCAAGAAGGCTTTGAGGACAAAATGAAAAAGGTATTATATTTTCAACAAATATTCAATGATAATTTGAGTACAGGAAAGAAGAAGTTTTGCTCAATAGAGCACCATTGAGATCACACGTGGAATAATGTGTGCAATTCTGGTCCCTTTGCCCAAGGAAGGGTATACTTACTATAGAGGAAGTACAGCAGAGGTTCAATAGACTGAGTCCAGAGATTGTGGGACTGTCCTAAGAGAGATTCCAGAGACTGGGCCTAGAATTTACAGAAGTCTTAAAAGGATACTCAAAGTGGTTGCAGAAAGAATGTTTCCCCTGGCTTTTGGATCTAGAAACAGGGCACACAATCTCAGAATATAAGGCATGCCATTTATAACTGAGAGGAGGAGGAACAATCTCAGGATGCTGAATCTTTGGAATTTTCTACCTCAAAAGGGGCTGTGGAAGCTCAGTCATTAAGTTAGTTCAAGACAGAGATTGACAGATTTCTAATAAGCAATGGCATCAAGGGAAATGGGGATAGCACATTAATATGGTGTTAAGGCTGAACAACTTTCTCCTGCTCCTATATTCCAAAAGACAAAGTTGATAGACAAGATGAACGTACATCAATACTGAACAGAAGACTTTTGTTTATTTCACGTTATTCTGTTAATTGCAATTGTGAAGTCAGTTGCCAAATTCCTTTTTTTTTTAAATTATTGAAAACAATAAAATATTCCTGGACAAAACACAAAAGCCAACACCAGTGTTGCAAAGGCTGCCCATTTTGGATGTGGCCATGAGAAAACACTGTCCATCTGTATAGATCAGCAGTGTGCTTATTACTACTGCGTATCAATATTCTCTTTCCATCACATTAGCAAGGAACTGTGGATTCGGCTGTTAAAGTCGCAGTAACAGTGTGCTTGTTAACACCATTGTTCACCAAGATCCACTACACTTACTGATTTGAAAAGGTCTAAATGGCTGGTTTGAGCACAAGAAGTCTGAAGTTGCAATGTTTACTGAACAAATCTGTATCACTAAATAACAATATTACATACTCCAGTCATACAAGTTGGTTGTGGAAATGTGAAAAGGTTTGCACTTTTAAGCAAACAATGGGCTACTTTTCAGTAAAGATAAAATAACGCTGAACTGAAGCAGAGAAGGTACACACAATTAAAACACTTTTCACGGAATACTGTTATGTCTTTTCCCAAATAGTTAACATTGGGCACAGTCTCAAGGACTTCTACTAAACTAAATCTCTAATCATCCATTAATGGGGAGGACTGTCATAAAAGTAACTCATTTCGTTCAATGTTAATCTTTGTGCCTGCCAACTTCCTTTCATAGTAACAGAGTATCTGGCCACAATACATATTAGAAGTTGCTGTGTATTAATGTGTATGCATATTTAGTCATTGTGGAAATTGTTTTAAAATGCATAAAATATTGCCAATTAAAGTTAAATACATTAGTGCAACAAATCCTGCAAATATATTGCAAAATCACTTTTAAGGTTCAATTTCTTAGACCAACATTAATGAATGGATTAAATGTAGCATTTGAATGTTCAAACAAAAAAATTAAATCATTGTATGGTTTCAGAGTCTATGAAGTGTAACATTTTGAAACTTAACATAACAGTTATGCTGACAGCTAAAAAAAGAAAATGACTGACTTCACCAGGCCACTTCCTCCCGAGTCGGGTGAACCTGGAAGCTTCCTTACAAAAATAATAGAATGGTTCTAATAGACATACATTCGATCCATATTTTACTAAAATGCATGATTCCAAAACAGCATTTCAAAATATAATTAATTGAATTTTAATATTCATAGAATGTTTATTTGCAAATCTTATTCCAAATAGATTTTGGCCATAGCAAAAAGAAACAGGATAGATATCAAGTATTCACCTGTGCAGGTATACCAGGTTTGAAGCAAGCCCCATATAATGGTGCTGCACTTGTCACAAAACTGTTTGACACTTTTGCTTTTCTCCTTGTAGAATCGGTGTTCAAGAAGAATTCGAATATTTGGCTCATCTTCATCGGGGTCCTATGAAGACGGCCAGCAAAGAAAATGATTAAGCATCTATTTAACGGTGACCATAGTTATATGAAACTTACTGCAGCATTTCAATTCCATGAGTGTAATGAAAGTTTCTCAGACCCCGAAAACCATATTCTCATTCAGTAAAGCACACAAGAGCAACTACAACAAATTGTGACCTCTGGATCATGCAAGGAAATATTGGAAGATGTGACCAAATAGCGCTTTCAAAGAGATAGTTTTTAAGGCACCTCTTAATGGTGAGAGACAGAGAGGTTTAAAGGAAGGCAGTCCATTTCTTAGGGCTGAAGCAATCGAAGGAACAGCTACTAAATGGTAAAGCAAAGAAAATCGGGGATATACAAGAAAAGAAAATTATTTTATGATGACAGGTGCAGTAAATTGGGTCTACTTCTCATTCTTTAATCTCAACGGCTTGTGAATCTTTGCAATTGTCTACCCAAGGTTGGAGGTGCTATGTTAAATATAACAATGAAGCAGAGATAGATTCTTCACCTGAGGGAATTGAGAGCAGCCTGGTGGCTCAGTGGTGAGCACTGCTGCCTCACAGCACCAGGGACCTGGGTTCAATTCCTGCCTTGGACGTCTGTCTGTGTGGAGTTTGCACATTCTCCCTGTGTCTGCCTGGGTTTCTTCTGGGTGCTCTGGTTTCCTCCCACAGTCCAAAAGGTATGCCATTCTGCCCCAGGATGGGTAAATTAGGTGGATTAGCCATGGAAAATGCAGGGTTGGGGGTGGTGGCTGAGTCTGGGTGTGAGGCTCCTTGGAGAGTCAGTGTGGACTTGTTGGGCCAAACTGGCCAGTTTCCACACCGTTGGGATTCTATGATTTGGAAATGTGCAAGAAAGTAAGAAGTTGAGGCAAAGAATCAGCTATGGATTATATTGAATTGGAGGCTCAAGGGATGCAAAGTCTACTCCAGTTTCCTCAATTTGTTGCATGAATCAACAGGTCAATAAAAAGAAATAGAGTAAATTCAGAAATGCAAACAATGTCTTTCACAAAATTCCAAACAATTGTGAGCTCCACGTGAATAAATTGTCAAGTCAACACAGCTAATGCCATATCAATTCCATTACAATAAACAGAAGACTGGATTATAAAAAGATAATGCACAATGCTAACACTGTAGTTCACAGCATTTGGTGAAGACAATTGCTTTCAAATACCAGAGTATAACAATTGTGAAGCCAATTTGCAGCCAAAACACAAATTACCTCAGAACATAAACAGGAGTAGGAATAGACCATATGGGCCCTTGAGCCTGCTCTCTCATTCCAAAATCTCAAAACTTGGTCTATCTCAAACCATGAACATAACGATGGAATATCCTCAACCTTATGGATTAGAAATGAATTCCAAAGTTTGCCAAGACTTTGCCCCCATGCTCTAGGTTGTCTCCCCTCACTAGATAATCTCCATATCTAACCTGAAAAAACTCCTTTCAAAGTTTGCATGCATCATCTCATTCTCTGAAATTTAGACTCAATTTACTCACTTACTCTCTCCTCATTGATCCCTGTAATACAGGGTTGCCTAATCTAGTGAACCCTTTGCAGTTATTACCTACAAGACAAATATATCCTTCCTTAAACATGGAGACAAAAATAGTGCATGCTATTCCAGATGCAATTTACACAACTATAGAATGGAAATACTTATCCCTGAACTCTAATCCATTAACTGAATGTAAACGATGTTAAAATGCACACTTTAACCAATGTAAGAGAAATGAAAATTGCAGGCACTTTGTTTTTGAATCCACTACAACATGGATTATTATGTCTCAAAGTGACGAGAAAAAATGACCTCAGTTAAGCTTTCTTGTGTGAATATATAAATACTTCACCTGTCCCCATAAACACTATCTGAACTCATCTGCCAGTACTACCAGCAATCACATTTTACCATAGATAACTGGCTGAAGTTGAGCACACAAGAATTCATACAATAGGTGCAGGAGCAGTTCCTGACATCACCTACAGCACAAGAAATCTAGAGTTTATTGGAGATGCAAAACAAAAATTCACCTCAGCAGAGAACTATTAATTGCGAACGGACTTCAAAATGGAAAATTTATAAAATTTCTCACAGGTATGTACATAGACAAAATGTAATTGCAGTCAATGATCACAATTAAATCAATTAGTCAGTAAAGAAAGTCCTCCGTAAAACAGTCAGTATCCAAGATTCTAGATCGACAGTGACTTTATAGTATTCATAGGCAGATGTCAGAGTATATCTTCCAACTGTAAGTCAACCTTAATTCCTAACCTACACTTACGAAATTCTAGTTGTGACATTTAGGAAGCTATCAACCACTCCAGTTCAAGTCCCACGCTCAAGACAAGTTCACAGTTATCAACTTATCAAAGTTTCAATGAAAACAATCTAAAGGCATTCGACAAGGTTCCGCATGGTAGCCTGATTAGCAAGGTTAGATCACGTGGAATACAGGGAGAACTAGCCATTTGGGTACAGGACCAACTCAAAGGTAGCAGACAGACGGTGGTAGTAGAGGGTTGCGTTTCAGACTGGAGGCCTGTGACTAGCAGTGTGTCCCAAAGATTGGTGCTGGGTCCAGTGTTTTTCGTCATTTTATATAAGTGATTTGAACATGAACATAAGAGGTATGGTTAGTAAGTTTGCAGATAACACCAAAATTGGAGGTGTAGTGGACAGCAAAGAAGGTTACCTCAAAGTACAATGGGATCTTGATCAGATGGGCCAATGGGCCAAGGATTCACAGATGCAGTTTAATTTAGATAAATGCGAGGTGCTGCATTTTGGAAAAGGCAAATATCAGCAGGACTTACATTAAGTGTATAAGCTCCTGGGAATGTTTCTGAACAAAGAGACCTTGGAGTCCAGGTTCATTGTTCCTTGAAAGTGGAGTTGCAGATAGTTAGGATTGTTAATAAGGCATTTGGTATGCTTGCCCTTATTGGTCAGTGCATTGAGTATGAGTTGGGAGGTCATGTTGAGGCTGTACAGGGCATTGGTTAGACCACTTTTGGAATACTGCGAGCAATTCTAGTCTCCCTACTAAAGGAAGGATGTTGAGAGACTTGAAAGGGTTCAGGGTTTGAGCCAGGGTTGCAGGGTTTGAGCTATAGGGAGAGGCTGAATAAGCTGGGGCTATTTTCCCTCGGGCATCAGAGACTGAAAGGTTTATATAATCATGAGGGGCATGGATAGGGTAAATAAACAAGGTCTTTTCCCCAGGGTGGGGGAATCCAAAAAGAGAGGGCATAGGTTTAAGGTGAGGGGGGAAAAATTTAAAAGGGACCTAAGGGGCAACATTTTCATGCAGAGGGTGATGCGTGTATAGAATGTGCTGCACAGGAAGTGGTGGCGGCTGGTACAATTACAACATTTGTAAGGCATCTGGGTATACCAATAGGAAGTGGTTAGAGGGATACGAGTCAAATGGGGCTAGATTTATTTAGGATATCTGATCAGCATGGATAAGTTGGACTGAAGTGTCTGTTTCCATGCTGTCCATCTCTTTTGACTCTAAACACTGAAACCATCATCTTCAAATGTTCCTATAAACATATTATTTCTGCCATTAACTCCTACCGCTTACTGAGCCAAAGTTCAAGGAGAAACTAGACTGTTTACAACACCAAATGCTTTTTGTCTGATGTGACCAACCCTGTATCCACTCCTCCAGTAAAACCACAGACTATTCCAATAACTACTTGTGCTCCTCCACTTTCAACAATCAGCTGATCCAAAACTCTTCTGCCAATATCCTATAATATACCTACATATTCAGAGGTCACCTAAGTATCTGACAGCAATGTGGACCAGCAGTCTCCAAAAATCATTAATTTAATATTCACATCTTTGTATTTAAAATCACAATGACCTAGGTCCTCCTCATCTGTCATCTCTAGTCCAACAAACAGATCTCTTCTGTATCCATCCACCCCCTAAACAGTCACTATGAAATGTTCCTCTGACTTCACCCAATCATGCATAATGCTCCTCTATTGTTTGCCACTTGAACGCAAGTGCCATAGTTAGAAACTTCCTCTCTTAAATCATTCCTACCTTGTTGAATAAACTGTTCCGTCCTCCCAGTGACTCTACTTTTGGCTCAGTATCCCTTTTTCCCTGTATGCCTCAGTGAAATAGTTTGGAACATTTTACTGCAGTGAAGGTGCAACATGAGTGCAAGTTATTGCTTTTGTTAAGGATTGTTGGAAATGAAATAGTTTAATGGCACCATTCAATGTAACTGAGGTCTTTCATTACTGATGCCATTCTAATTAATCTCCTTGAAATTCTCTGCCAGAATGGAAATTCTTCCTGAAGAATGGTTCCCAAAAAAAAAGGCACAACTGTTTTGCCTTTGTGTACAAAGTCTTCATTTATAAAGACAAAGATCCCACGTGCATTGAGATTTCAAGTTATTCACAACTTGTCCTACCATCTTTAAAGACTAGTTCATCTATTTTAGGTCTCTCTACTCCCAAAAAAAATCACGTAATTTGTTTTTTGTACCGCTCCTTATTTTTCCTACCAAAATGAATCTTTATCCACATTAAACTTCATTTGCCCCAGGTAAACACATTTCAGCTTATCTGGATCCTCAAGTTTTACTTTGCTTTGTTTCCAAGCTATTGACATCAACTGACAGACCTGTAGCAACTGGATTTCTCTCCATCTCGTTTGAATGCATAACAATGCAATATACTTGGCTGAGCAGGCGAAAAAGCCTCTTCCAAGCCTTTGTCAATATTACTTGTCAAAACTTGTTTAACAGTATTTTCTCTCCTTACCAACAAAATGGCTAAAAGGATTTAGTAATGTTGCCTCTTAATCTGCTCCACTCCTCAATACTGAAGGTTAAGACAAATCCTTTTATTTCCCCCAAGGTCAAAAGTCTCACGACACCAGATTATAGTCCAACAAGTTCATTTGAAATCACAAGCTTATTGAGTGCAGCCCCTTTGTCAAGTGACTTCAACTGACAAAGGGCAGCACTTCAAAAGCTTGTGATTTCAAATAAATCTATTGGACTATAACCTGGTGTCATGTGACTTTTGACCTTGTCCATCCCAGTCCAACACTGGCACCTCCACATTATGGCTTTTTTTTCCAGATTACATCATATTTTGTAGGAATAACTTTGTAGCTGCCATCGCCTCAATTTAAGTATAGCTTTTTGTCATTACATTGTCCGTTTCAAACCTTCAATTCTTGCAGTTTAAGCCGGAGATGAATAAGTTTAACAACAGCGTCTTTCTGCTTCTCAGAGTGTTCCGGCAAATCTAATATAACTTGTTTCACTTCATCAATTGCACGCTTCAGGTTTTCAATGTCCAATGCCCCAAATGAACCCTAGAAAACAAATCAAAGCAAATAATGCTGTCTCTTGGTTGCGTCCAAATGAGTCATGTTGCAAAAAGGCATAGAATAGTACCTACTCAATCCCCATCACCAAAGGTGAAAGAATAACAGAGGAACAGCAAAAACACTTTGATATTCAATGGCAGTTGTGGAATCAATACTCAGATTCTTTTGGACATTTTGAAGTTTCTAAAATCATTACTGTGCACACCTCTGAACCAGGTTGAACTTGAACCCAGACCTTCTGGCCCAGAGGTATGAACATTACCACTGCACAAAAGGCTTCTAGATTTTTCTGGACATGACCAAATTGTCTTCAAGAGATGGAGAAAAAAAAACAAACAAACAATGTAACAGCTTTGTTTGCAGTGCTATTCACATGCCAATAATGAATGTTCATTTTCACTCAATACACATTCACTTTACAGCCTCTCTATTTTAAAATCACAGTACAGGATTCTTGCTCCCAAAGTGGTGTTTATAGAACTGGATTAGTTAGATATTTCTGCAATTTGGGAGGGAGAAGGAGATATAGCATTACCTCACGCTTTAGTCAGTTTTTGAATAATTCATTCAAGGATAAACAAACTCAAATTTCAGAGAATAAAGTCATAAAGCAAAAAAGAACAGTTTTAATCCTCATGCAAATATCATTCCACAGAAGATTACACTACAGAATATAATAAGCAACGTCCTCAAGCAGGGGAGTCTGCGCCGGACACAAACTATTTCGTTGGTATCAGAGTTGGACAGAGACACATACATATAATTTCAAAGGGATATTTCAACTTCATTCCTTATGAAAACAGATGATTGTACAGAACTTAAATATTTTTCTTCAAGGTCTGTGCTCCACAATTTAAATATCTAGCTTACCTGCATGATTGTAAAATATTTACTACATTTCAAGATGTGAATGATACTGCAGTTATAGAAACAAGAAGAAAATTGATGCTTACCACAGGTTTTGAAAAGTGATCCTCAGCCAGGCCAAGATCCATCACTCTGTCAGTATGTGCACTAACCTCCCGATACAAAAAGTCTGTGTGTAGTCCTAGATTAGGAAAAAAAATGAATACTTTTAATGGAAACGTGACGTGGAAAAAAAAAAAAAATTGTGATCCAGAAATATATAGATACATATATAGCAATTTAGTGTGAATGCTGCTATTCCCCAGCTGGGAGATATTTCCTAACCAGCTTTACATAAATTTTACTGTAAATATTAACTGCAGAAATGTCTGATGAATCTTTAAATCATTAGTGGTTTTAAAATAGAAATGCTTAAAAATTCAGATGTAAGGTCATAGCTTTATTTTAAATTAACGCAATAGGTTTAGCTGCCAAGTTAAAAACAAGTGAGGGAAGTAGGTTCCTGTGCCAACAGATTGCATTCACTTGATATGCATGACGTAATCACTCTAATGTACCTCCCATCTTTCTTGAAGTCACAAGACTAGTTACTTCAAGAGACAACAAGGTGCAGAGCTGGATGAACACAGCAGGCCAAGCAGCATCATAGGAGCAGAAAAGCTGATGTTTTGGGCCTAGACCCTTCTTCAGAAATGGGGGAGGGGAAGGGGGTTCTGAAATAAATAGGGAGAGAGGGGGAGGCAGATAGAGGAGAGGATAGGTGGAGAGGAAACAGACAGGTCGAAGAGGTGGGGATGGAGCCAGTAAAGGTGAGTGTAGGTGGGGAATTAGGGAGGGGATAGGTCAGTCCAGGGAGGACGGACAGGTCAAGGGGGCGGGATGAGGTTAGTAGGTAGGAGATGGGGGTGCGGCTTGAGGTGGGAGGAAGAACAGGTTAGGGAGGCAGGGATAAGCTGGGCTGGTTTTGGGATGCGGTAGGGGGAGGGGAGATTTTGAAGCTTGTGAAATCCACATTGATACCATTGGGCTGCAGGGTTCCCAAGCGGAATATGAGTTGCTGTTCCTGCAACCTTCGGGTGGCATCGTTGTGGCACTGCAGGAGGCCCAGGATGGACATGTCGTCTGAGGAACGGGAAAGGGAGTTGAAATGGTTCGCGACTGGGAGGTGCAGGTGAACATCTGCTTGATGTGGAAAGTCTTCTTGGGGCCTGGGATGGGGGTGAGGGAGGAGGTATGGGGGCAGGTGTAGCACTTCCTGCGGTTGCAGGGAAAAGTGCTGGGTGTGGTGGGTGTGGTGGGGCTGGAGGGGAGTGTGGAGCGGACAAGGGAGTCACGGAGAGAGTGGTCCCTCCGGAAAGCAGATAAAGGGTGGGGAGGGAAAGATGTCTTTGGTGGTGGGGTCGGATTGCAGATGGCGGAAGTGTCGGAG